CCTTCTGGAAATTTAATTGGATGTATATGTATTGAACTGTTTCCAGATCAATTACTTTTCATCTTTCATAGTTTTCATTTTCTTGTTTCTTTACCAGAATTTACAATGCTGGGTAATTTTTATCAGACACATCTTATAGTTCATCGATTTCTCTTTATCTGTGCTTAATCCTCTCTTAAGTGCATCCATTTTTTTCCTTTTACTTTTAACAGTTATATTTCTTATTTCTCAAAGTTCCACTTCTTTTTTTAGACACACCAAGTCTTTTATAGTCTCATGTTGCTTGCTTGTTTTTCTGAATCCATGGGTATTCTGTAGACTGTATCTGGTAGTCCCAATGTCTGATGTCTTTAGGGGTCTAAATTTATGACTTGTTCTTTCTGTTGTCTCTGCCTCATGGTGGGTTGTCACCTCCTTTGCTTGATGATCTTTGGTTGTGAACTCCTATTTGATTGATCTTTCCCTGTGGGATCTTGAGAGTTTGATTTCTTCTGATAGGGTTTGTATCCGCTTCCATTGGGAGTCAGGGAGTTTACATTACATGGCTCAGTTTCCTCATTTTGCTTCTGGCCCAGGGCTCAGTGTCCATTATTGCTCTTGGCATTATTACTTGTAGCTCTTGACTGTCAGCTTTAGTTTTTAGCAAGGGGTTTTATTCCTTTCGGGGGGAAAGGGTGGCTTTAAATGTTCCCTATGAGCTCAGCAGAATTTAAAAATTTTTGAAATCTAGGATCTACTTTGTTTTTCAGTGAGAGTCCCCCATTAGTTCATTGTAACTGATGGGATTAGAAGTCCTTTACATTAATGTTTAATTTTAGCAATATGTTTACTTGAGTTTGTATTAGAAAAATAAAACCTGTCCTACCAAATGTAAGATTTCTTGTGATATCAAATTTTCTATTAAAACAAGTTTACATCGAAGTTAGAAGTTGAGTTATTCTCAAGGAAAAAATATTCAATAACAGTAGTATAGGTGGCAAGTGGATTTTACAAGGTTTTGTACTTGGGGAGTGTGAATAAAAAATTTGAGAAATACTGAGTTAGGGAATCAAGATGAGTAGGGCACAGTGTACCCTCTGGGCCTGCAAAGATAAACCCGTGATGACCAGTGTGAGAACTGCTGTCAAAAAGATATGGACAGGGTGCTCTGGTCTTACAGAGAAGAGGTGCAGAAAGAAAATTGATAGTGAGAAGATTAAGAAATGCTTCCCAGAATGGAGTATTAAGGGCTGGTAGGCATTAGGTGGTTGCAGAATAAGGTTTGTTTATGAATCAGAAGCAGTTGAGTATGAATGGCTTCTAAGTTGCATGTTGTGGAGTGACTGGAAATAAAAGCAGGACCAGGATTACAAAAGGCCTTCCATGCTATGGTAGGGAGTTTGTACTTCATTCTGAAGGTGAAGGGAAGCTATTGAATGATTTTAAGCACTGAAATGTTACGATCAGAGTTTTAGAGAGTGCCAAGGTTGAAGGCAAGTGACCAGCTAGGAGGCTGCTTGTTAAGTTAGTTCAGAGGAGAAAAGATGAAGTGACAGTTAAGGCAGTGTTGCTGGCATGAAGAGGTGTGTGTGTGCTTAATTTTAGATTTCTTAGGTGGATAGAAAGGATAGGACTTTGTGGTCAGTTGGATAGGAATGTTGAAAGAGACTGGGGAGTCTAGATTGACCCCCATATTGCTGGTTTGGTTAACTAGGTGGCACGTAGAGCAATTGACTGATAACATACAGAAAGAGGAAAGAACTTGGTTTCATTTGTTTGTTTTTGAGGAAAAAGATAAGTTCATTTTTGAACTTAATGAATTTGAGAGGCTTGTGGGACATCTTGTTTAAGATCCAGTAACAGTTGATCCAATAACTATAGAGATGCAATGCAGCCTGGAGAAATTAGAGACTCTTCAGCATTTGGGTGTTTCAGCGATTGTTTGCTACAGTGTAGTATGAGATATTTAAAGTGGCACATAGAATTATTAATAGTTAAGAATTTAATGTGTATGAAAGATATTAGTTGTGCATCAAACCTATGATGTCATGGATATTATCCCATAGGCCAAGTGAGCCCAATAAAAGAGAAATACTAAGTAAATAAAAATACATTTGATGTGTGGAAATGGCAAAAATCATGGTGAAGCTGTGCAAATAATGGAAGTTCAGAAAGTGCTGCTTTAAGCCATGGGTGTGGTGGATAAGGTCACCAAGGAGAGAGTAAGCCTGAAAAGAAAAGAGTTGACATTTGGGTGGCGGGGAATGGAGAAGAAGAGCCCATGGAGACTGAGGAAAAGCAGCCAGAAGAATAGGAGGAGAACCAGGAGAAGATGGTCTTTGGAGTCCAAATGAAGAGTTCTGAGGAGGAGGAAGTGGTCAACAGCGTCAAGTAAGTTGTAAGCTGAAAAGTGCTCTTTGGACTTAGCAATTAAGGTAGACCATTTAGCTGGAAGCATCCAAACAGTGGATTTTTAAAAATACTCACCTAATACTAATGTTAGTGATAGGTGATACTTACGGCATTTCCTATATGCCATGTACTATTCTAAGCACTACAAATGTGTTAACTGGTTAATCAGGTAGGTAGTATTGCTATTGCATTTGGTACATGAGGAACTGAAGTATAGAGAGGTAAAGTAACTTGCCCAAGATCATATACTCAGGAAATGGGGGAGCCAGGATTCAATCCTAGGCAATCTGATTTCAGAGTCCATGCTCTTAATTAACCCCTGTGCCAGTCACCTCTCTGGTTAAAACAAAATAGAAAATAAAAATCACACCAGTGTCTAATTACAGTGTAGTTGGTGTAGGGTGTGCTAGTGAGGTTTGCCAGGCTGACAATGACCAGCATGATGTCACAGTGGCTTGGTCTGCTGGGTATGAGCACATTAACTGGATTGTAATCAATGCCATGATGGTGATGTGTGGGCTATGACAGAGTTTTTGGCTTTTTCTGTGTATACATACGAAAAATGTTTGTAAGGCAAATGAGTTTAAAAGTGTGTCTATTTCCAAGATAGCATGTGTCCCATTTTACATTCCATACTTTGGGTCCTAGTCTGGTTTTTCACTTTTGGAGTTAAATTCCCTAAATTCTGTTCATCCAGAACAGGTCACGTTCCAGACATGATAGATAACCAACCTGTTGTAGAAGGTCACTAATGACCTTATTGTGAGCAGTTTCCCTTGAATGGCAGAGCTAGAAACCCAGTTGCAGAAAGCTGAAAGTGAATGAGAATGGAGGAAATGGGAGAGAAGGGAGGAAGAATTGTGATGAGGATGAAGAATGTCTGTGGTAGGAGATGGAGGACGCAAGAGTCGTATGACTCTTGGTTGTGGTCAAAGGAGCTAATCAGAGTTAAAGATTTAAAAACTGGTTTAGACTTGCACTGTGATCTGAGGTGTAGCCTTGGAAAGGAAGAGCCTAGGTGTTGGGTGGTGAAGATCATTTTAATCAAGGAGGTCAACGGCAAGGCTGGGGTCTTGAAGGCATTGTCTACATGGGCCTTGACGTGGCTGGGATGGTGAGAGTTGGGAGGAGAGCTGGGAACACTGTGAACTAAGGGCCAGTGTTCTTAAACAGGACAAGCGAGAGCTAAGTAGGTAGCAGTGACAAGCAAAGGTAGATACAGTGAAATAGAGCGAGAGGAGAGACTATGGAATCAGAGGATCTGCGTTTGAATCCTTCCTAGCTTGGTGACTTTGAGCAAATTACTTAATTTTATTCAGAATGCTTCCCATCTATACACTGCAGGTGATGATGATTGGACCTGAGAATTGCCGAGAGGATGAACGAGATAATGTGTGTAAAAATGCTCGGTATGATGTGTGACAAATAGTATGAATAGTTAGCTAGGAGGATTGTTATTGTTCTTCTCATACTATGAGGTTTTCATATGGCAAATTGGACGTAATAAGAACTAAACAAATTTGTATTTCAAGGACCGATGGTGGTCTTGCTTAGTAAAAAAGAAACTTGGTTTGTACTAACAATGGCCAGGCAGTAGTGAAGTGGAAAAGTCTAAGAAGTGGTGTTAATAGTGGTGGTGATGATGATATGAAAAGAAGGCCATCACTTGGGCAAGAGTTAGAAGGACTACCATGCTGCATTTTTTAGTGATGTTTATGTTTTGTGGCTATTCTCTGATGGCGATAAATTTTTATTATTAAACTTTCTTCCAGAAAAAAGCCTTAGTCTGAAACTCCAGCCCCAATTTTCTTTTTTCCCCATTGAAATAATTCTTTTTAAAACATAGATAATATGTTTGATAATAGGAGGCTGTTGGTAATGTGAGGCTTTTTGCCCACATTTGCAATCTAGCAGTACTGTGTGTTGTGGTAGTTGTGAGAGCGCCAGATGCAGTGATTGTTAGGAGGATGGAAGTCTGGGTGCGGCTGTGGGGAGTTAGGAGATTGACAAGCTTGCCCTGTACCACTCCAGCTTGGCCCTTTTGCCCAAGACAGGAACACACACGGATGGATGGATAGGGAAATATAAGCAGCCAATAAGAAACCATTTTCTCAGTGAGGTCAGGATTTACTTCTGGCCAGGAGGTTGAGAATATGGCGGAGTTTGTGTGTGGTGAAATGGCATTGTTTCTCAGGATGCAGTAAAAGCAGATGGGGTAAAAGGGCAGCAGTGGAAAGATGTCTTTTGTTCATTCAGCAAACAATTATTGGAGGACTTTACCATGTGCTGGGCACATACAAAAGTGAGTAAGATGCCCTTAATTATCTTCCATCTAAAGGAGACATCTAACAGATAAATTCAGAGTAGAGATGGTGACTATGTGAGCTTCAGGAAAAAAAAAAAAGATTAAACTGGTATTTGAAGAGAGTTGGGAAAGAATAGCAGCAGACTGAGGATGAGAATCTTCCAGACTCAGTGTTCTTACTGGTTATTTTGGGGAAGCCTAAGTTCGAAGGATTTTTCTAATATACCATAGAAGCCAGGAAAACTGCTTCTCATATTATCTCAAATGATTTAATTACTGATTTGGGTTTGTGTTGTTTCCTTAGGATGGTACAGCATGGACGATTTTGCCCTGGGAGATTTCACTGTAGCAGATGATGCCTTGTTAGAAGATTGCCCTTATGTGGATGATTGTGTCTTTGCTCCTGAATTTATGTCCAATGATTATGTTCGTGTGACTCAACTTTACTGCGATGGGGTGGTAAGATTTGTTGCTTTTTTGTTTTAACATCGTGTCTTAAAGGTTTATTATTTTATTAAGATATAATTGACATGACATTGTATTAGTTTCTGGTATACAACATAATGACTTGAAATGTGTAAATGTTGTGAAATTATCACCAAAGTAAGTCTAGTTAAAACTACATTCATCGGGGCGCCTGGGTGGCTCAGTTGTTAAGCGTCTGCCTTCAGCTCAGGTCATGATCCCAGGGTCCCGGAATCGAGCTCCGCATCGGGCTCCCTGCTCAGCGGGAAGCCTGCTTTTCCCTCTCCCACTCCCCCTGCTTGTGTTCCTGCTCTTGTTAACTCTCTCTCTCTCTGTCAAATAAATAAATAAAATCTTAAAAAAAAAAAAAAAAACTACATCCATCACCATTCATAGTTACAGATCTTTTTTTATTCTGAGGACTTAATGTCTACATTTTAAAGGTTTTTTGATTTAGAGCTATGGGAGTAAAGATGTTTTTGTGGGGTAAAAGTTTTTACAGGGAGTTTCAAATGCGATTTTAGAAGAGAAAGTAAATGGTGCCTCAACAACAAGAATGTTCAGTACCAGAGAATGGGTGATAGGGGAAGATGGTTTTCTTTAAGATTTTATTTATTTGACAGAGAGGGAGAGCGCGCGACAGTAGGAACACAAGCAGGGGGAGTGGGAGAGGGAGAAGCAGGCTTCCCGCTGGGCAGGGAGCCCGATGCAGGGCTCGATCCCAGGACCCTGGGATCATGACCTGAGCCGAAGGCAGACACTTAACCGACTGAGCCACCCAGGCGCCCCGGAAGATGGTTTTCTGACTAGAGATTAGAATACTCTCAAGAGATAGCCGTAGACGCAGACTTGGGGGAAACACTTTTAAAAAAAAGCCTAAAGGACTCACTGGCCAAAGATACTGTAATCAAAGTGTATAAGTAAATGTGCACTGAAATATTTGTTAATTTAGTACTGATAATCCTTACATTAAAAATTGAAAACTGTATTTTTGCATTTCACCAGATACAAATCAAAAGAATTTTTTTCTGTTTAGGGTATGCAGTATAAAGATTTTACTCAAAGTGAGAGAAACTTAGGTGAGTACATTGGTATTTGAATTTGTTGAGAGACTTGTGTGAGGTTCATCCATTCACATCAACAAAGCAGTCCTACATATCTTTCATTTTTTTTACTTTTTGATTAATGTATTTTTAATTGAAGTGTAGTTGACTGCAATATTATATTAGTATCAGGTGTACAACATAGTGATTGGACATTTATATACATTGCGAAGTGCTTACCATGATAAGTGTAGTTATTATCTGTTGCCATATGAAGTTATTACCATGTTACTGACTATATTCCTTATGCCGTCTGAACTTTACATCCCCGTGATTTGTTTATTTTATAAGTGGAAGTTTTACTTCTTAGTCCCCTTCATCTGTTTTGCTCATCCCCTTCTTTCTTACCTTTCCATATCCATTGTAGCCATTTCTCTATTAACAGTGTTGATTTATTCCAAAATGAGGCATAAAATATTAATTTAAAACTTTTTTTAATAAAGAATTTGACATCTGCAATATGTGGTGTAGTAAACCAGTTTCTGTCCTGCAAGATTACTGTGATGCCATTAAAATATACATCTTCTGGCCACTTCTGTTTCAACGTCAGCACAGTTCTATAATATCACGGTTGCACCCCTGTGTGGAGGCCACGTAAGTTACTACACGTCATTCATTTTGTGTAAACAGTGATGATAAGCATGTTGCCCATTATTGAGGAATGCCAAGTACAGGGGAAGGCTTATGTCTTATTCTTGTATATACTGTTCAACTTCACTCTTATGTAATAAGGTGGAAAAAGTTAATGCTTTGGATTTGGATATGAATGACTAATCATGGTAACATTATGATGAGTGAACCTCTGAGGAGGATTAGATGGTAGATTTGAAACTGAAGGAAAATTAATATGCTTGTTTATAAATAGCAGCATTGTAGTACAGAAGAGAGAAAAAGGTATTTTGTCCACTTAACAACTTATAGTTACCTAGAGTGAAGTAAGAGAATTTAATTTTTTTCAAGTAGTTTAAATTGGGGTATAACATATAGCAAAGCGTAAAGCTCAATGAATGTTTATATATGAGAACCTAATTTTTTTAAAAATGAATTTGTATTTAAGCAATTCTCATGCATCTGAGATAAGTTTGAAGAAATTACAACATCTGGAATTGATGGAAGATATTGTGGATTTGGCAAAGAAAGTTGTGGTAAGTGGTGGAATGTGTATTTGGTCCCCTGTATCTAAAGAATATAATTTATGTGGTGTCAGGCCCATGTTACTCATTTATAGTGGTTAATAGGTAATGGTTTCAGTTTGATTGAACCTGAGATTATTCTACTACCCGTGAGTTTGTGCTATGTATTTGAGAGATTAGGTAGATGGCGGTCTTCCTGGTTCTGACATGAATGATGTAGACGGCGGTCTTCCTGGTTCTGACATGAATGATGAGATCCAGGACCATTCCTCATCATTAAAGGATAGAAAATGGAATTTGTCACAGATGAAAGAAAGCTCATAGGAACTTTTGTCATAGGAGCTTTTGTCACTGAAAGTGATGGGTTCTTTCTTGTGAAATCATGCCACTGGCAGCAGCACCACAACAAATATTTGATCTTTGGGGTAAACTTTTATTATATAGTATTTGAGGCAGTGCCCTGTATTATACTGAAGGTTTTTTCCCTTGAAAGCCATTTGATCATTTTTCTTATTTCAGTTGGTTATGGAGTTATGGAGCCAAGTGTTTATTTCCTGCTGATGAGCCTCTGCTATTCCTTTTTTTTTTTTAAGGTTTTATTTATTTATTTGAGAGAGAGAATGAGTGAGAGGCAGAGAGAGAAGTAGACTCCCCACTGAGCAGGGAGCCTGACGCGGGGCTCGATCCCAGGACCCTGAGATCATGACCTGAGCCGAAGGCAGACGCTTAACCAGCTGAGCCACCCAGGCGCCCCTCCTTTGCTATTCCTTGTATCAGTCAATGTAGTTTCATAAAAAAATCTTGATGTAGTGAACTTTAAAGTCCATACATCTAAAAGTTACACTAAGCCATTTTATTATTAGAAGCCAATGTAAGACTACTTCTGAATTCTTGTTTTAGGGTTCTTAGGAGATAAAATGGGCATGAAAGTGCTTGTGGGAAGTGGACTCTTTGTACACATAGCAGTATTCCTGAAATGTAGGATTTTTTTTTGTCCACTGGAAAATTCAAGTGTAACTGATTGAAGATGGTTCATGTTTTGTTGTTTTGTTTTGCAGAATGATTCATTTTTTATCGGAGGCTTATTGAGAATTGGTTATAAAATAGAAAATGTAAGTATTAAATGCGGGAAGCAAGCACAACCACTGCCGATAAATGGCAGTTGTCTCACTGCTCATTGCTCCATGAATTGGGTTCACAAGTTAGTGTTTTACATGTATTAGTTGCTAGTACTGATATCTGTATTTTGCTTAACCAGTCTCCTTATTTTGGGGGTTTGCATCCTTCCCTCCTCCCCACATATGTAGTATAATTTTGGGCTGCCCCCCCTTTTTTTTAAGATTTTATTTATTTATTTGACACAGAGACAGCAAGAGAGGGAATACAAGCAGGGGGAGTGGGAGAGGGAGAAGCAGGCTTCCTGCCGAGGAGAGAGCCCGACGTGGGGCTCGATCCCAGGACCCTGGGTTCATAACCTGAGCCGAAGGCAGACACTTAATGACTGAGCCGCCCAGGCACCCCTGGGCTGCTTTTACACATTGATTCTTTTCTTTTTTAGATTATTTATCTGGCATATATTCTCTCAAATGAAATTATTAGGTCTCTGGTATGAACATTTTTGATATGTAATTATTAGATAATCTCCAGATAAAATTATAAGCCAGTTTTTAATGCTACTGGTAACATAAATATCTACTTGTTTCCCTTAAGCCTGACATGAGCATCGATAACTCTTCTACTTAACTTCTGAAGTCATTTCAGACTAGAAGTACGAATAACATTCCTGTGAGCTCCTGACTCTTCATGAAGATCTTTGCACTGAGTGCTTATTTGCACAGCTGCACTCTCCTGTTTATCTCCTTACTCTTCTGTTTGCCATAGACCATTTAAAATACACAGTCCCTTTCAGGAACCTTAATCTGTACCTTTAACCTTGTGGTAAGGATGGAAGTCCTAGTTTAGATGAGATCTGAGACCCCCTCATTCACCTTGTATTATTGCACCCAGGGCAGCTGCTGGCCAGGTTGTAAACCTCAACTTCCAGGTCTGTAGTGATTGAAGCAGCATCTTGGTCTATGAGGGTAGCCTGAGGTTATTTGAAGATGTAACATATGTGAGTCCCTGGTATCTGTTAACTTAAATGTTGGGGTCCAGCTATTCTAGTTGCATGAGTAATGAAAATGCAAGATTGTGTTAAGTTTTTATTAAGAATCTGAAATACTGTATGTTAAATTTATGGTACCACCTGTACAATTAAAATTAATACCCAAATCACATTCTTCATCTTTTTGATACAGAAAATCTTGGCAATGGAAGAAGCTTTGAATTGGGTGAAATACACAGGCGATGTAACAATTCTACCTAAATTAGGAGCAGTTGACAATTGTTGGCCTATGTTAAGTATTTTCTTTACTGAATGTAAGTATAAATGCATTAAATTGTTACTTGACTCCGTTTTTAAAGGCATTATTTAGGAAAATGGAATGTGTGGTTATGTGATTTCTTATTTATCTTAGGACTTTAAAAAATGTTTTCTCTTAAAAAAATCTTTTTTTATTGTAAAGAAGAGAAAAGCCTGAATAAGAGAACTGTAACCTCATAGGTAGCTTTATTCTATATTTCCTGTCTTAATAATTTCTATGACGTCACACTTCTAAAAATCCTACCAAGTGAATGCCGTAAGTTATAATACCCAAGAAAAGAATCCACAACTGGGGCCTCATGTATTCTTCTTCAAAAGAGAAATAAGTAACAGGGCTAAGATTATAATTTACATTTTCCCGATGACCCTGTTATTCTTTCGTATAATGAAACTGCCTTCTATATTTTTTTTAACTTTGTGAAATATGTTTCTCTAAAGCATTTGAATGTTAGCAGTGTTTTTTTAATAGTACAGCTGTAGGGATCTTGAAGCAGGAAATATCGTGCTCTTTAGTTGATGACGAGTAATTTGCCATCACCACTTGAGAAGAGGTCAGATTTTATACTGTTGATCTAAGTGGTAGAGCGAAATTAAGCTTAAACACGGAGACAGGTTTTCCTGATATTACATACTGGACTGAATTATATCGGTAGGGGTGGTTCTCCTCATTGTTCTGGAGGCCTGTAATTGTAGGGTAGATTTTATGGTAGAAGTAGAGGACCAATATGTATTGGGCACCCATGTGGGCTTGGTTCTGACATATTTTCTCTCTCTCTCTCTCTCTCTCTGTTCTCTTCTTTACAGTTGCTCTGTAAAGAAGCTACAAGGTAGCTGTTACAAGGTAGCTGCTGTTGTCCCTATTTTAGAAATAAGCAAACTAAGGCTTTGGGAGGTTAAGTGATATTTCTGCAGTCTACTGAGCAGTAGAACCTAGATGAGAAGTAAAGTCTCCCTGATTTCAAAGCCCAGGTTTTTATCCTGCAATCTTACTCTGTCCCTTATTAATTACCTTATTTGGTGAACTTCTGAAATTCTTCCTTAAATTTAGATTTTAGATACTTTTTTCATCTTGGAAATGTATGTGTTTGGCTAGAGGCTTAACTACAGTTTTGTTGGGATAAAATTGTTAACATTTAAATCTATAAACTGCTAAAAATACAGAAAATGAGGTCTGATAAACTTTTAACATAAATTTTGGTTATTACCTACTGCATTTTAATTAGTTTATTAAATTTTTAAAAGCATAGTATTTCAAATAACATTTTAACGTTTCATTCATGAGAATCAAAATGTTGAAATAAGATATTTAAAATTCTTTGTTACATTAAGTATATTTTAGAGAGTTTTCCAAGTTTTTGTTCTTAGACATTTTTGTTGAACATCGTGCCAGGTACACCATAGGCTCTCAGTAATGTTTGTTGAACTAACTTGAGTAATTATGAGGCCTATTTGGAATATTATGACTGAGGATTTGTTTTAACTACAGTTAGAATTAATGTAATAATAAGTGCTTTTTTTAATGGTAGAACTAAAATAGGTTAGATTCACATGCAGTGAATCTAATGTGTTCTAAAACATTTTATTGCTTGTTCACTTTAATTTGTATAATTTGATACGTGTAAAAGATTATAAGAAACATGTTATTAGAAATATTAGAAAGTATAATAATTAGTTGACCTTATGGACTGACCTATGTAACCTAAGTTTTAGAACTTTAACAATACCAATTTGCTTTTTTTTAAACAAATGTTCTCTCACTCTCTCCTAAAAATAAAATTTAGACAAGTATCACATAACTAAAGTTGTAACAGAAAACTGCAATTTGCTTGAAGAATTTAAAACTCAAAATTGTGTGGAATGTATAGAGGTGAGAATAAATATTTACTTGTAAGTATATTTTAAAATTTATCTGTTAGAACTTTTATTAACATTCAAAGAAAGTTCAGTAAAACTGCTGTCTGTCAGCACACAGGAACTGTTGTAAAATTCAGTAACACGTTTGAGGGAAAATTTTAATAAATTTTGATTGGAATTTTTTTTAAATAATTTTTTATTGTTATGTTAATCACCATACATTACATCATTAGTTTTGATTGGAATTTTTTTTTGGAAGAGGAAAACAACATCTTGATCAGAATTTTTTAATTTACATATGTATTTCAAATATATTTATATATTATTAAAGTAAATTTTTAGAATACTGAATAATAAACATTTAAATATATGTATTTTAAAAGTTAATTGAAATTTGATTTTTTTAAACTAAGGTTTTTAATTAGTTGAAGAAATACAATTTTCTTTGGTAACAGCTTTATTGAGATGTAATTCATATGCCATAGAATTCACTCAAAGGAAATTTTTTTTTTAAAGATTTTATTTTTGCATAATCTCTATTCACAAAGGCGGGGCTCAAATTTACAGCCCTGAGATCAAGAGTGACATTCCTCTACCAACAGAGACAGCCAGGCGCCCTGGGAAATATGATTTTTACTAAATTTTTAAAGAAGGATTTAGGAAAATATTTAGTGTTCTATTTAATTCACTTACTAAAGCCATTTATAGGATCCAGTTTATTTTGATCTGTTTATTTTGAAAATTTGAATATTTGAAGTGAACAGTTTCCATTATATCTGTAGCGTCTTTGATTTCATTCTTGCTAATTTTGCTGCCTCATTTTTGTTAATTAATCTATTCAACATTGACTCTATACTACTAATTTGTGTGTGTATATATATATATATTTTTTTTTTAAGCACTCAGGATTATTGAATAATATCATATCTTCTAACTGAAAATTTTACCTTGCATCTCTTTTTTTCCCTGCTATATGACAGGCTCAATAGGTATTTTTAAAAGTGGGCCTGCCAAATACTATACACAAGGGGATAAATTGTTAGTTGTTACTCATAATGTGGTGGTTTTGTTTATTTTTTAATATTCCTTTAACAAAGTTAGCTTTGAGTCATCAGAAACAGATTTTTTAAAATAAATATACCAAAATATTAGATATTGGGTTCCAATTTCTACATAAATAATCTCCTCGCTTATTTCTGTTATCAGAGATAAAAAGCCCAGAACCATTTTTCCTAGATACTGGCATTCTTGATTGTCTTTGCTTTTAATTGATGGGTCTTCTTTCACCTTGGTTTCTCAGCAAGGAGAGCTAATGAAAATGAAAGGAAATGAAGAGTTTTCAAAAGAAAGATTTGATATAGCTATTATCTATTACACCAGAGCCATTGAATATAGGTAAGAGCAAAATAGAACAATGAGATCCTTATTGTGTGGCAGATCAAGTTGAAATGCTAGTCAGGAGAAATAAAAGCAAGGCGAGGAATTGGAGAGAGTATCTTCAACTTGCTATATAGAATAGATTTTCTCGCCCTTAGGCATTAGAAGTGTTAGGGATGGCCTGGGTAGATGAAATAACTGAGTAGTAGAATTTAAGCAAGTCAGGCAGAATTGTGAATATTGCTTCTACCCTGCCCCATTTTCTCTCAAGCTTTCCAGTGTAAGCCCACCTGTTTTTTCTTGTTCTCATTTTGCCTTCAGCTAATACCTTCCAAATTATTAGCTAATCAAAAAGGACTAGTTACTAATACCCATTCAGGAATTTCTGCTTTCTAAGAGGGAACTTTTAAAGTATAATAGTTGGAATTGTTGAGAGAGTGTGTGTTCTCTCTACCTCATGTTCTGTTTGCTCAGCTGTTAGAATTTTGTAGCATTCCTACATGTGTGCCTCATACTTGGTTCCTACTGATATTTTACCTGGGCCATCTAATATTGTAGCAGTCTTTGGAGGATGTGCTATAGACAGCTACTCTCTTTCCTGCCTTGCCTGTCTCCATGGGGAATGAGTGAATCAAGGTAGCACACCACATCTGGAAGGCTGCTGCTTTGTTCTGAGGAAGGAAACAGATTAAACTAGAAAAGACAAATTTTGAAATGAAGCTATTTAAATTGTTAAAGCTAGTTAAATTTACAGACTTTCTTTGTCAGAATTCTTTGTCAAAGTGGTATAGTTCTGACTTACATAAGTATAATTCTGTCCTTTATACCTACACCATACTTATGATTTGCTAGCTTTTTAATATGTCTCATTTGATCCTCACAACATCCCTATGAGCTAGGCAGAAAAAGTAGAACATTTTGAATACAGTGAAGTGTAGATTGATTTGAACAAAGTTACTCTGGTAGGAAGTAAAGGAACTAGGACTTAGCCAGTTAGGTCTCCAAATCTTACATTCGTTCTGCTCTGCCACACAGATGTAAAGTTTTTGGAAAAGTTTTTCATGCCTTATATTTTCTGTGTGCTTTTTATTTGTTTTGTATACTTTACTGACTAAACATTATTTCTTTTAAAGACCTGAAAATCATCTTCTTTACGGTAACCGAGCTCTTTGTTTTCTTCGCACTGGACAGTTTAGGTAAGTTGGTTAGAGTACTCCAGTCACTGAGCTGTTATGCTAAATACCCATTTTTGAGAAATATTTGTGTTTTGCAGGTATACAAGAAAATCCTTTAGTAGTTTTTTGTCGGATGTAGTTAAATGGTTAAAGGGGCTGTGTAGGCTTTATACGTACAACGACAGCAGCAGCTGTTCTGATTGAGTGGATAACATGTTATGTGCTGTTTCAAGTACTTTACATTGTTCCTTGATTCTCACAATACACTTACTAGGTAATGTTATTCTCCACACTTATATTTGGGCGGACTCATACTTACTCATAAGTAGTGATGTTAAGATTTGAACACATCTGGTGATGTTGAAGTCTTTGTTTATAATACCTGTGTTATCTCCTTTTGCTCTCTTAATTAATCTGTATAATTCTGGAAGAATTTTTGCTGTTTTCTATATCTTGATATAAAAAAATAAAGTAAATCTCATTTGTAAGTGAAAGAAAAAAAATTTAATGGTTTAACCATCAGAGTGAAATCATAATTAATTCTTTTAATTTCTTACATAATTAATTCTTCGTTTCTTATGTTGCATTGAGTTTTTATTAGTTGAAAAAGATTGTTGACACTGCACCATGACTTTGTTGTCCCTCAGTTTCAAATATTTTGGATATAAATTACAAGCATTAATATTGAGCAGTGTATGCTGTTACATTTAATTATGTCTTGCCTTACTGTAAGAAGGGCTTAGAGTGGCTTCAGGAATAAATCTGCTCGGTAGGAGAATATTAAAAACACAACAAAATAAACTAAAAAACCAATTTAGAACTGGGGATCCTCAGAATAAAGCTCTATAGGGATAAGGTCCTGCACAGTTATTAGTTACAATTCATATTTGTATTTGACCTTTCTGTTGCCCAAAATAAAAGGAGAAAGCCTGACAAGTTACATGATTCTCACTGTCCATGAAGAAAGAGGACAGAAGTTGCTCAGGTGAAACAGTTTTCCTGATGTTTAGTTCTGGAAGAAATTTCTTATATGGCTTACAAGTAACATGGACTAGGGTGATGGAGTAGAGAAGAACCTCAGGCACATTCCTGTTCAAAGCAGAAAACTCCCTGAAAGTGCAGTTTGGGTTTCACAAATAAATTTTTTTGTGGAGTTTTCTGATCAAAGCAGAGAGTCTGATACTAGTGGTTTTTAGTTAAAGTACTTATTGTTGGGATGCGGGAGGGTGGGAGTGGGGAAGAGAGTATATTCCAAGTATGTAGCTTTTAAAAATAACATTTGTTTTTCTTTTATTATAAACAGAACACATTCTCATGGTAGAAAATTTGGAAAATACAAGCGTTTAAAAAGAAGAAAATAAAAATCACCAGTAATCCAACCACCTCGGAGAATACCGCTGTATTAACGTTATGCAGCTTTTAGATGGCTTAAGCCGTGGATAAAGCGAGGCTATCTAGACTAGAGGAATGGATGGGCTGGACACAGTCTTCCATCAATACCACTGTCCTCAACTGGTTCTGACAAGAAATGAGCTGCAAATGTCCTTAGGTTATTGCGTCTGGCTAGGTCCAGAATTGCAGATATCCTATGCTGTTTGATGGTGAATCTATGTGCTTTCAAGATGAATAGGTTGGCAACTTGGCTAGCCTCTTGTGAAAATCGAAACCTTGATTGGGAGAAAGGTCATCCACTCTGCATAGGGGAGCTCTGAGAGCGGAGAGGCAAGCCGGGGGGTTTCTGCCCGCTTTCATGAGTGTTGAATGCTAGACACTCAAGGAGGATCCTCTTAAAACTGCGCTGCAAAGGAGGTGCATCAAAGTAGAAATACAGAAGCCAGGTAGCCTGGTGAGGAAAAGGTCAAGAGCAGGGTTGTGTGTCAATCCTTGTACCTACTTCCTGATAGTCTAGCTTGTGGTTCAACACCCATCGAAGTTTTCACTAGAGGCAGGTCAGCAACATTTCCTTCTCAGGCAGTCACCGATATGTATTGAATGCCAATGTAATGTCAGAAACATTGTGCCACACAGTTTTGGTGGTGTTTCCCACCTTCTTGCACATTGTTTATATGACTTATTCAGTAATGTAGGGATAATGTTTTCTGAGTTTACAGTACATCTCACTCCTGACCAAGTGAGTAGATAATGTGACTTCAGAAAGGAGCACGTTGCCAGTTATTCACTCGTGCCATTGAAACAGAAGGACCCATGCCCTTTAGCTGAGTTACCATGATTGAGATGTTTTGAAGCTCTCACATCTGAGGTTTGGTAGATCTGTCATGGGAATCTGGCTGAGCAGGTGTGGGACACCTGGGGGTAAAGCATCCAACCTCACTGGCACTGTTCTGAGCACTTTATGCATACAAGCTCAAAAAACCCTCAACAACCCTGCATGGTGGGTGCTGCTATCTCTTTACAGATGAGGAAACAGGAATGGGAGGTCAAGCAAAGTATCCTCAGAAACTAGGTGGGTGTGATGGAGCCAGAATTTGAACCCAGGCAGCCTGGATGCAGAGTTTCTACTCTTAATCTACTCTTAATCCCGATGGAAAGGGCAGTGTGAAAGCTGAAAAAAGGATTAAAAAATAAATGGTTCAAATAGTCAATAAACATGAGTATCCTTATAGGACATGCAGATTACAAACTTTGAGTCTCTTTTTCATGTCCATCAGATTGGCAAACATTTTAAAAACCTCATAATTCCAAGTGTTTGAGAGGATGTGGAACAAAGGAAACTTGCATACTCGGCTGGAGAAAGTGTAAATTGGTGCAATCACTTTGGACAGCAGTTTGGCAAGGTGAAGATGTGCATACTCTGCAGCCCACTTCTAGGCTCCTATCCTCCAAACTCAAATGTGTACCCAAGAAGATACGTACAAGCCTTCACAATAGCATTGTTTGTAAGAGTAAAGAAATGGAAACAACTTAAATGTCCATCCATGGGGGAATGGATAAATAAATGATGGTATATTCATACAATGGAATTTTATGCAGCAGTTAAAATGATGACAATGTTGAATGAAAAAGCAAGTTGCTGAATGATTTGTATGGTATGCGGTTTATATAATGTCAAAATATGCAAAATGACAAACATATCATAGTTAATACATAGTATGTATTAAAAATGTTTACAAATGCATGGGCATGTTAAACATCAGCAGAGTGGCTATCTCTGGGGAGGGAAGGAGGGAAAAGGATTGGAGATGAGAAAGTGGTACACAGCGGTTGTCGACTGTAACAGTTCTGCAAAAGATCTGAAGTAAATACGGCAAAATGTTAAGATCTTGCTAAGCTGGTACATGGGTGTCGACTATATTAATGTTATTCTCTGTACTTTTATGTATACTTGAAATATGTGATAAAAAGTGATACAGTAAAATTAAAAATGCACATAAGATGAAAAAAACAAAAGCAGTGTTCACTAAAACATCAAAGATAAGTGAAAGTAATCTCGAAAGAAGAGAAATATAAGTGTTTTAAGACCAATGGTGGGGAGCCCGAGGTGAGGTATGTGTGGGGAAAGTGCTTCATTAAGAAATGGTCAAGGTGCTGGTGGTGGTAATGCCAGGTAGTCACAGTTTGTACCACCTTTGGGTGAATGTATGTGAGGCCAAGAGCCCATCTGAACTTTTAACATTCCTCAGACGTGTGCACCTCCAGGTCTGCGGATGTCCCCCTTTGGAAATCTGTGGAATGGGATTGGGGGGCTGTGTGGAAATATGCTACTTCCTGCCACAGCTTCTGCTGAATCCTTTAGGCTCAGGACTGTGTGCAGTGTATCCCAAATGCCGGTCGTGGCTGAGATGTCCTTTATTCAGGTCTTCCAGAAGTTCACTTCACAAATACAACTTGCCAGTTATAGGGAATTTTACAGTGGTAGTTTTAATTGAAGTAATCAGATATTTTTAAAAGAGAATCTAAAAAAAGTAGTTAGGCATATCTATGGCTTCTGTAGTTATAGCACTTAATGTGAGGTGTATCATCAGACTGTGCCTCTTTACTGTTTCATTCTTTTTTCTGGTACTCAAATGTGGAAATTTGAATTCTTTGATGGGATGTGATAAACTGTGTAAGGGGAAATGGAATTGGAAAAAGGGAAAGCTTAGCCTTGGATTTTTTTTTATTTACTTTGGAAAATTATGGAATTTTAAACTTGGCATTTACTTTGACCTTCAGTGTTTACCCATCATAATATATTCTCTTCTGTTAAATCCAACTTATGATTAATAGCAGGTAGATAGACTTTAAATGACTTCTGGTTTTTTGTTTCGTTTTGTGTTTTTCTGAATTTCTCTGAGGCCCAGAGGTATAAATCAAGGCAATTGTATGTTCCTGTGAGAATTTAAAAAATTCTAGTGTGGGGAGCACCTGGCTGGCTCAGTAGAGCATGTGGGACTCTTGATCTCGGGGTCAGGAGTTGAGCCCCATGTTGGGCGCGGAACCTACTTTAAAAAAAAAAAATCCTAGTGTGTGGGAGGAGCTTCACTGTGAGTGTTCTGTGTATTTCCATAATATCTTATGCCTGTATAAGCACTTAGTATGTTGAACCAAATGAAGTTACTATTTTTATAATCCAGAATGTAGGCAGTTTCATTTGATTCAATGTAATGTGTATATATATGTATGTGTGTGTGTGTGTATATATATATATTTTTCTTTTTTTAATATTGGTGGGAGCACACTATACATAATGTACTTCTTGCTTTTTTTTAAAAAAATACTTAAATGTTGGAGCTTGTTGCATATTAGTGTATATAGAGATATACCCTTATTTATGTTCATGGCTCCATAGTCTTTTTTTTTTTTT